TTCAAAAGGAATAACAAGAGGGCTTCCAAATGCCCCTGGAAAAGTGGAATTAGAAGCTGATGGGCTTCTCCCATGAACTTTCGGAAGCTCCCTTACGTAGTGTGTTTGCTATTTGCCAACGAGGGGATTCTAGCTCATAGCACCCTCCCAGGCAGCAGAGAGCTTGCGGGATGTGTGCACCAACAGTTGGCCAGGTCTTTCCTCCCCCAGAGGCCCTGGGTGCGTTCAAACCACTGGCCCTGCGGGTAGCTGCCTAGCGCTTAACTGTTGTGCCAGCAGGGCACCTTAGGAAGGAACAAACCAAACAATTCTCAAATGTGTCAACCGAGAAAAAATTCTCCCCAGTGCATTTCTAGCCGCCTGTTTAAAACAAAACGCGCAGTCGAGAAGGACACAGGAACGCCTTCACCACTCTGCTCTTTCTGTACTTCTCCCGTATACTGTGGGCTTTTTAATGACCTGCCTTGTATGTCTTCAGTGAGTGATATGTGCATTTTTTGCTACCTAGTACAGGTTTCTTTTTATGTCTATACCTTGTTCAGCACCCATTTGTTCCCAATCTGCATCTGAGCATGATATAATTGATGCATTTTTTTCTCCAAACAATGTAAATGATATTTGTCTCTCTCTGTGTGTATGTCTGTATTATTTATTCATGCAACACTCTCTAGCCTGCCATCATAATTCTACTTTGAAGTCATGCGACCCAAGGAATGAATTCAAATGTGTAGCAAAGAGCAGCTACCCCAGAACAGGATACGTGAGTGCCGCAGAGAAAGAGGGGCGAGCTTCCATGGGAATGATAGAAGATCTCCTTTTCGTTCTTTTTGGAAGGATGTGAGAATTCCTGAAATCCTGATAGCTGAGTGTTACTTGTCTTATAGAGAAATTAGAGACCAGCTGTATAATGCCTGCCGGCTAGCTCTGTCCCTAACCAAAAGTCCGGTTCGTGAGTTTTCGGAAACGTTGACTTCTCCGGACATAGCTTTGGAAAAGGCAGCCTGTGACAGGGTTTCATTTTAGCATCATAAGTTGAGTAAAGGGGATCCACCGAGTAATTTTTTCCAGGTTACCATGGTTATCTGTAGAAATGCTTGAAAGTTTTTTCATTGTATGATGTTACTATTCTGGGACTTAGTTTTGCAAAAAGAAATTCACATTGCTGTCATTCAGAAGATTTGAGGGATTTCGCCTCTAGATAACAAACGTCAGACCAGTTCTAATCATGTAAGGCTGGGCATGGGTTCTTAAGTGCTGCTTGGAAAAGAAGGACACGATCCCTTTCTCTCCAAGAGGCCCCGAGCACAGGGGGGAATTTTCTGTGAGTATTGTAGCAAAGGTGTGTCTTTGTCTGTCTGTCTGTCTGTCATCCCCGTGGTGTTGACCTGGCATCCAGCAGCACCAGGGACTTCTCTACCTCTGTCCTGATTAACCCCACTCTGCATTTTCTCTACCCTCCAAGCATAATTTGGAAAATCGCTTTGCTTGCTGGAAAACTGAGGAACCTCACTTCATCTGCTGTCTACAGGCCTGCCATGTTGATTAGCAGAGGTTCTCCCCATGACACCTAGGTTTTAAATGTTTGACTAAAGAATTACTGTTTGACCAAAATTATCCTGGACTGATTAATTTTAATTAGATCATTGGCCTAACATTAAAATACTTGAAAGAAATATTTCTCCTCAGCATGTCCCCACCACTCTCGCTTTTTCAGAAAGACACACACACACACACACACACACACACACACACACACACACGCGCCCCATTGTGCTCTCTCTCTCATTACGTCAGTCTCTCAGAGAGGTGGGGAGTCAGGTGGGAAGAAAATGTATACTTGGCTGACCAGGGTGTTAAGAATCTGATAACTATCGTGAAGCTGTACTTTAAGACGGGCTGTGTGTCAAAGTGTGTAAAATGTTTCATTCTTGTGTAATCTGTCGGCCAGCATGTCTACACTTAAGCAAAAGAGCTCACAGATGAATAGAAGATTGTTTGTAGTCACATCACATTGTGCGGATTAAATTAACGTGTAAATGACCTAATGAAGGTGCTCAGTAAACATTCACACAGCTTCTCCCCTTTACTTTTATCACTGGGTTGATGTAAAGCAAACTTTGCCCTAATGAATAGTGGCAGTGATGAGTCAGGGGTTAAAACCTGGGGCTTGGAAACCATCCGGCTCTGGGATTAAATACTGGGTGTTTAAACCTACTGTCTTTAGGAAGGTTGCCTAACTGCTCTGAGCTTCACTAACCGTATCAGGAGAATAAACCAAACCAAACTCACTGGCACTTAGTTGGTTGGCATCGCAACCCCATAGGGCAGGGTAGAACTGCCCCTGCGGATTTCCCGACTGTCTTTATGGCAGTTGAAAGCTTCAGCTTGGCTAGTGGTGAGCAGCCCAATTGGTAACCACCCCACCACCAGGACTCCCTTGTTAGGAAAATAAAGATGATAATATTAGTCCTGGTGACGTCATGGGCTACGCATTGGGATGCTAATCCCAAAGTTGGCTGTTCAAACCTCCCAGCAAGTCTGAGGGAATAAGATGAAACTTTCTTCTCCTGTAAAGATTTCGAGCCCTGAAAACTTAGGGGTAGTTCTGTCTTGTCCTGCTAGATCCTTCTGCTCAGAGTCAAGTTGGTGGGCACGAATTTGGTTTTTTCAGACGGTGTTGTTCTCCTGATAAGATGATGTACTGGTTGATAAAGTGGTTGCAGCAGTCCGTCGACAGAGCTGCCAGAAATGCAGGCTGGCTTCAGAAGAGCATGGCGGATGAGGACCCCGGTGGCCGATATCAGCTGGATCTGTGACTAGGCAAAGGCAGTTGACTGAATGGAACATAACTCATTGTGGCTAGCAGGACGAACGTTGCGAAGAATAGGAATTCTAGACACTTCATTGTGCTCATGTGGAACCTGTACATAGACCACGGAGCAGGTGTTGGAACATGGAGATACTGGCTGTGGTTTAAAAGTGGGAAAGGTGTGTGCATCAGAGTCGTATCCTTTCATCATACTTATTCACAATCTGTATGTTTAGCAAATACTTCAAGAAGCTGGATTCTATGGGGTACATGGTGTCAGGATGGGAGGAAGACTTATTCGCAACTTCTGATGTGAAGATGATACGACCTTGCTTGCTGAAAGAGGACTTAAAACACTTGTGGATGAAGATCACAGCCTTCAGTTTGGATTATATCGTAACAGAAAAAAAATCTTCCTAACTGGACCAATAAGCAACATCATGATAAGCGGGAAAGATTGACTTTGTCAAGGATTTCATTTTACCTGGATCCATAAGTTATAGTAATGCCCGTGGGAGCAGGAGCCAGGAAATCAAATACATATTGCATTGGACAACTCTGCTATGAAAGAACTCTTAAAAGTGTTGAAAAACCAAGATGTCAATTTGGGACCGACCCAAGCCATGGTCTTTTCAATGGCCTCAGATGGCATGTGCAAATGGCACACTGGATAAGGGAGACTGAAGAAGAATTGAAGTATGCGTAGGTGAAAAATATTGACTATCCTGTGGTCTGTTGGGAGAATGAACAGATGCATCTTGGAAGAAGTGCCGCTGGCGCGTGTTTAGAAGCGAGAATGGTGAGAATTTGTCTCACATGCTTTGGACGTGTTATTAGGAAGGACTGGTCCCCGGTGAAGGACATTGTCATGCTTGGTGGGAGAGGATCAGTGACAAAGAGGAAGACCTGCAATGAACTGATTGACAAGGTGGCTGCAGCAAGGGACACAACCGTGGTCCTGATTGTGGGGACGGGGAAAGGCTGGGCCTTGTCCACGGAGTCGCCTTGAGTTGGGACTGACTTGGTAGCACCTGACAAGTACAATTACTAGCAGTATTGGTATATTTAATACTAATATTAATAAAGTAACAAAAAGCTTAGGGATCGCACTGAGTTATTGTATATAAGTCTGGAAGGAGACTGGAGTAAAGCTTCTGAAGATTATATATATAAAAGTTTTGATTGAAATTATAGCATTTGCTGCGTCTAAAACTCTTAAACTCTACAATTCAGAAATTGCCTCCAATTTTTAAACCGAAAAGCCCATGTATTGTTCCTTTTGTTCATGTCGCAGTTGGGGAGCTGTGTGGGATTGTTTGGTTTATGCTTTTCCATAATTAACTTTTGCAGATGCTCATTGAACAAAACAAGCTAAAGAGACAAAGCTACCTTCTGCTACAGAGCTCCACGCCCGACCAGCAGCTTTCGAAAGCTTTAGATGACAATGCCAAACTCGTCCAGCTCCTTGAGGAAGAGAAAATCCAGCACCAACAAAAGGTAGTATTAGATGTGATTCCAGAGTCTTAAAGAAACATAGAGATGCAGTCCAGTCATTTAGAATCCCATGTTTAGCCTTAGTGACTAATTCCCTTTAGGGATCTTGTTTGTTTGTTTTTTAATCTAACAAATGAACTAATTTGATTTAATTATCAACTAAATGCATTGCACAACAGTTGAGGGTTATAGCCATCCTTACACTGTTCAGACAACCCGAAGAAGTAAGGGGGGGGGAATTGGTTCATAAAACTTGGCTAATGCAGAGCCTGGAAATCTCTGAGTTGATTGTATTTTGGAGGTGGGGAAGCAGGGTGGCTACAGGCATTAGGAAGGGTGTATTTGTCTCAAAAAGCTTGTTGGGGGGTGTAGGTTTTGTTCAGAGAAGGCGGAAAAGAGAAGTCTACATTAGTAGTAATTGTTTGCTTAGGAAAATGTCCGACTTGGTAAACTTGCACAAATACATGTGGTTAAAGGCTTCCTAAGTGGTTATTTCAATTTGTCTGCGTGCAGCTATACCAGCTGCCACAGCCTACCTCTGTGTGCTGGGCAAAGAAGGGTCGTCATGGTGGTGGGTGGGAGAAGAGGAGAGGCGAGGAGGTGGAACAAAGGCTTTCAAATGAAAAGAGCCACTTAGGAAAGATTACCTCAGTCTTTATGCTCCTTACCGGCTACCTAGCTTGTGGAGGACGGCTGTTAGGACCCTTCACCACCTGTCAGAGTTTCTCTGTATTGACATTTGGCTTTTGGATGCTCTAAAGTTGGCTTTACAGAGTCACTGGTGACACAGAATTTACACCCCTCCACCCCGTTCCCCCCAGTGGACAATCCTGGCAAGAGGGCTGGTGACAGGAGGGGAGGGTGCGAGTTTCTGGCCCCCACCCACACTCTACTCCCCCCACACACGCAGGAGTTACCATTTCAAATGAAGAGAAGAGAAAAGGGTGTGCTTTTGAATTGCCGTACCTAGATTTTGCTTGTCATTCTGAGAAGTCCAACCATTGGGAGTGAACTCATTTAGTAAGGAATCCCTCCCTGCCTATCACCTACTGAATTGAATGAAGGTATAAAACTCAGTTACTAGAGTCACACCTTGTCGGAACATAGGTAGAGGTGCTGAAGACTGTGTAAAAGTTAGGAATGAAATTACAGCCACCGCTGCTTCTCAAACTAGTCTACCAGAAAAGACTCACTGCCACCAAGTGGGTTCTGAGCCCTAGGAACCCTGCAGGGCCCATTAGGACGTCCCCGTGGGTGCCCGAGGTTGTAGAGGGTTACAGACCCAGAAAGCCTCATCCTTCTCCCAGGGAGCAGTTGCTGGGTTCGAACCACTGACCTTTAGCGTGGCAGCTCAACACATAATCCACTACTCCATCAGGGCTCCATGTTGTAGTATATTTTATGATTCTGCATAATCTTTATTACTTGTGTGGTTTAAAATATCATATGTCTATAAATTCCTTTATAGATTCAATAGTCTTTTAAACATAGCTGTATTATGGACTTTTTAAAATTTTAAAAATAAACGTTCATTATTTAAAAGGAGTTTTTTTTAAAAAAACTTATTAAAGTTAAAATGACCCATTAATTTCCGTGTTTTGATCATCTATAAACTTTGCTAATAGATGCTATGAATGTATGTATGATGAAAGAGAATCAGGCCAAGCACACTATTTTATGAGTTTTAAATTGATAACCCCTCTTCCCATGGCTGTGATTTAACATGCGTTCACAGTATTTCATTTAAGGAACACCCCAGGACTTATGAAATTCATAAACCCTTTGCGGAATGAAGGCTCTATGTGGTCCTCATGTTTAGTTGTCATCTTGGTCTCAGACTGTGCCTGGTGTTTCAGCTGCAGCGTTGCTCTCTTTGCTAGCTGGGACGTGCAAAAGGAAAGGGGGACATTCATGCCCCCCACCCCCACCCCTCACACCACCACCTAAAAGTCCGTTTGACTCACAGGTCCAAGAGTTAGAAGCACAGCTCGAACAGCAGACCCTCCACAAGGAGATCCAGCACCTCAAACAACAGCTGGAACTTTTAGAAGAAGATAAGAAGGAATTGGAACTGAAGTATCAGAATTCGGAGGAGAAAGCCAGAAACCTAAAGCATTCCGGTAAAAGCGTTGACTGGGCCACCTGACTGTGTCTCTTACCGAACTGTATCACCTCATGCACAGCGAGTCCAGGAGGTGGAGAGATGTCAAGATTGGTTGCTAAACGGCTTCCTTTTTAAAGTCTGTCATTTAGTCGAGCAGCCACTGGAAGTCATACGGTGACCTAAAGTCGCAGGCTTCTCGTTGGACCCCAGGTCTTTGTGAGTGTCACCCACAGAGCGGAGCGACCGCGAGCACATTGACCGGGAGGACCAGCAATGTTACCCAGTTTCTTAGAGGGCCCTGCTCTTTAAGTAGTCCCTTGACTTCATTGATTTTTAGGCTGTGCCTTAAGAAAGAATGGAAGCCTGTTAGGCTTAAACTCCCGTCATCTTTGGTGTCTAATCATCCACCTGAAATAATGCTTTCTGTATCACACCTAACAATAAAATGGGCAACAATATATATATTAAATCGGAAAAAAGGATTTTAAAACACTAGGGGATATTTAAATCAAAGGATTTGTTCTCTCCATTCTGGAAGGCTTTATGGGGACCTGCAAGTTGGATTACCGCACAGCCATAAGTATTAAGTTGCTGTGGCAAAAGGTAGGTAATTTAAGGAAGCTGCCCATTCCCTTTACAATAGCTTCAGTATTCACTGCAGATATTTTCAGTTAATTTTGTAATAGAATTTAAAAATCTATGCAGAAAACCCTTGCAGGCTTTTAAAAATGATTATTCCCTTTTGAAAATGCTTCCCAATCTGGAGTGAAAATGGATTAGTGTTACACACACACACACTTTGAATATGTCATACCTGAATTTATATTTTTATTATTTTTTAAATCATTTTATTGGTGCATAATTCAGATAGCATACGATTAGTTCAGTCATATTAAGAAGAGTTGTACAATTACCACCACAATCAATGTTAGAACATTTTCTTCTTTCTTGTACTTACTGTTATTGGCTTACCATTTCTCCCGATCCCCTCCTGCCATACCCCCAAGGGACCATTAAACCAGTTACGTTCTCTGTAGACTTACCTATCCTAGTTTTATAAATAGAAAAACAAAACCAAAAAAACACAACTGACAACAGTCACAAAGCAAAACAGGAAAACCTCAATGGAAAAGAAAGCAGAAATATTAAAAACTAGAACAAATTTTAAATGAGTCAAAAGGGAGATCAAATGATACGATCTTAAATTTTTAACCTAACGGCATCTGCAGTAATCCACTTTCTAATTCAATCAGCGCAATTGCAGTGCTATTCACATCCCTGGCCTGTGGTCAGAGGAGACTCACTGGAGGCTTAATCTAAGTTGAGGTTAGTGAGCAGTGCACACCAGGGCAGCCTTTCTTACCCAGGGAGCAGGGCAGAGACGTGAGTCTGTGGAGCCCTCCTCCAGCATCATCTGAGAAAAGCAGGAGATAAGGAGTCTCACTTTCTCCTCTCACGCAACTCAGGTTCCCTATACCCATGGTTACAGAAGTAACTGGACAATTCTCAGTGTTGAGAAAATGGCCCACACTGCCTGTGGGCAAAAACCAGTGGACAGACCCTTGAGGGGTCAGGGAAAGCGTAAGGACCATGTGGACACAAGCGTCCTCAATGACTCAAGTCATTTGCCCATAGCACAGTTATCTGCACCTGTGATGTAAAGGCCATCAAGGCCCTTGGGAGCAGGCAGTGGATCTTGCATGGCACCAAGCCCAGGCCCTTCACATGGTTGGTTCTGTTGCCTGAATGAATACCTTGGGTGAATAAAATCTGTCTGCAGAATGCTCTTCCAAAGTGCAGAAAATTCCTGAGCTCTAGACATTTGGGAGCCCGAGTAAATTTAAAATAATGAATAAGGACTGCTAAGATGGTTAAAAATCAAGGACTCTAGTATTTATAGTTTGCAAAGGAAATTAAGTGGGGGAGGAAAAGTATGCAGCTATTAAGATTCATTTCTAAATGTCATCTTTAAAATTAATTCTTGGGCCATCCGCTTCTGAAGTCAATTATTCACAACCTCTGAGGGTTTGAGGAGTGTACTGTATTGTAACAAGCATTTCTTCACCCTACTCGAGCCTTGTTCTCCCACCCATCATCTTGGATTTGCTTTCCGGTCGTGGTAGCTATAGCAGATGGCAGTTTTGTTCTTTGAGCAGATGGACGGGGTGGCCTCTCTTTCCTTGGGACTAATAGACCAGATTTTCGCATTCTACGGTGTTATATTGGAACTTCTAACTTTGCCCTAATAAAAAGAATTTGATTCTGAGGTGCTATACTTTTTGCCTTTGTACATTAAAAAAAAAAAGAATGTTCATCAGTTGCTTCTTTCAGCTCTCTTCTGATTTCTTGCTCTTTGTGCAGTGGATGAACTCCAGAAACGAGTGAACCAGTCTGAGAACTCCGTCCCTCCACCACCTCCTCCTCCACCACCACTTCCTCCACCACCTCCCAATCCTATCCGGTAAGCACGTCCAGGAAGTTCTCCTTGCGTCTGATGTTACCGCCCACATATTCACCCCCAGTCACTACTGGGGTCCTTTTTCCTTCTTTTTAAATGGCCTTTACATTGTGTCACCTGAGGTACCCTAAAGAGTCTGAAAGATCCACGGAGTGTTTCATTCAGGGAGCTTCCAAAAGATCAGGGATTGCATCCTTAACTTAGTGATTGTCTCATTTTCTGATGTTTCCCATTTATAGACATCATCCCCAAATCAACTTATAGCCTCTTAAAAACAGGTAAGGGCCTATGTGTTTTGAAAGAGAGAGAACCCCAAGTCCTGGGTCCTTCCCGCCCCCGCTTCCCAGCCTCAGATGTGAATAAATCAACAGAGGAAAAGGTTTTAAAAGGGTGAGTCAGGTGCTAGGGCCTGAGGTCATTAACCTGTACATCCCCCACCCCGTTCCACAGCCTCTTTGAATCATGACCCAATAGCAGGGTCAGGGTAGGCAAGGTGGGATTGGAAACAGAGCCGGTGAGCTCTGCCAGTAGTTTGAAACCTGCCCCCTGGAAGTATGGAAGTCACAGCACAGAAACAAGTGAGCTGCAGGGGAGGGAAAGCCCCACTGTCCCCCACGAAAGGACTCCTGGAGCCCTGTTTCATTTAAAGCCTGGTCTTTGCAACTTAGCTGTGTTGATGAGCGCGGAGCTAGTGTGCGCCCTTCTTATTGTAAACACTCGGGGCCTCCAGTGTGAACGTTGTTGTGAACGTTGAGCTTCCCTGTTGAAGTTCCGACCCCAGTTCAGTTAGACGTGGGTGCGTGAGTGTTCGTTTCATCGCAGCTACTCCAGTTCTCCAACTTTAGTTCACGGCATTAAGAATTCCTTTAGCTGTATGACCAGGAGTTCTGAGCGTCTCTGGGGTGTTTCTCTCTCAATAATTTGGATTTGAAAAACTCTGCCTTGGTCAACTCTTTATAAAACAAAAGCACTACTTGTTATAAACTAATACTTCACTAAAACGACTAAAGATGTTTTATCCCCAAGCCTTCGTATTTAAACCTTTAATAGACTCAATAAAGAGAGACTTGATCAGAAAAAAATAAAATAAAATAAAATAAACCTTTAATCATGCCGGGCGAAGAAGCTTCCACAAGGAAAAGGATTGATGTTTAAACTCTTGCTACAGGAAAGGGTGTATGTTTAAATGATTGAGACAGGAGTTAACTCTCCACACCCCCCTCCCCCCCAAGGCCAAGGTGACCTGACAACCTTGACTGCCTAACTTCAGCAGGACCCACACTGGGAGACCCAGGGTCAGAATTCTTACCTCCTTTGTTGCTCTGCATTCCACCACCCACCTTGACCTAAGACTGCCTGTGAGTCCTGGTGACCACTTACCTCCTCCGGTCATGATGCTAACTGCTTCTGTATAATTTATTCTTGAACAACTGGCATTTAAACTTTTGCTAGGGTTTTTTTTTTTTTAACCTTTCATTAACTCATGTGATTTGTTTAATCCTTTCACACAGCGAGGCCTTTTATCCACACTTTGCACCTTTGCAGATCCATCTGAATAGCGTGTGTGGTGCGTTCCTCCCACACACTGATGAAAATGAGACTTGGCCTTTTAAGAAAGATTCTCATTAGTTTTCCTCACGGAGAGGGCCGTGGCATAATCTACTTTAAGCCATTGAAGTAGTGAAGGCAAGATCATTTTTACACGTGATCGATCCGAGACTGAACTGAAAGAATTTCAGGTATTTTAAATTCTTTCTCTCCTGGGTAGCCCAGTCTGTAGGAGAGAGTCTGACTTTGACATTTAAAATGGGGAATTCATCGCTTTGATCTTTCTGCCAAGGTCTTGAATTTGGAACTGATGGGAAAGGTCACTTTTGTCCGCGACGAGGGAGAACCATTAAAAAGAGATTACAGCCTTGCTGTTGGCCTTTAATTTTTTCGTTTCAGAACCCTCGAGGACCTCTAGACTGGAAAGTAAAGAATAATCTAAGTAGAAGTTTTCCCTAAGAGCTCCTTACAGTTGGGGCTGAGAAATGAATGTAGGACTCAGGGCTCTGGCCGTCGGACTCTTTTGTCATGCTCTTTAAAAAGAAGGAAATTCATTGAATAATACAAATGATTTTTATTTGATGGTGAATTGAAACTGTAGAAGAAATAATTCTTCAGTAAAATAAGATTTTTGGGGGGTGGCATGTAGGGAGTCCTTTCATTTCTAAGACGATGATTTGCATATGTATTGTATGCCAGGGGACTTTTTGATTCCATGAATCAAGATTTCTCCAACTTTATTCCTGATGCAGTGGGTCATGGGTCGAAATGAACTCACCCCTGTCAACTCCAGCTCATAATGACCCTATAGGTTTCTGAGGCTGTAATAAGGGAGCAGAAAGCCTCAGCCTTCCCCCCCTGGTGTAGCTGGTAGGTTTGATCTGCAGGCCTTGCACTCAGCAGCCCAGAGCATGCCCCCCCAACCACCCCACCAGGGCTCCTTGGGTAGAAACAAAAGTAGGGAAGAAAAGAACTAGGGCTTTGGGGGCTTTTTGCTCCTCCTCCCTTTCACTCATTGGATCTGGAGGATTTGCTCACTGCCAGTGAGTCAGTTCTGACGATGGGAGTCATGCACTGGTGATGCTGAAAGAGGACAGGTTCTAGGCAGAGGTGGCCCAAGGGGCACAGAAGCAGCTCTTCTCCAAAAACTTTGAGTGGATCTTATCCATTGAACTGGACCACCTGGGAGCAGTACGTGGTGGAAGCCTTCACCCAGTCAGTTGAATACGGCTGTGAAATGGGCCAGTGATAACGAGGTTTGGATTAGTGGCCCTCATTGGCTTGTCCTAGTCTCTCATCTGCCCTTCGAGACCTACCCATCTATTCACTTGATGCTCTCAGTGTCATCTTGACAGATGGTTCTTCTTGAATGAATGCTCCAGATGATTTTTCTATGGGCACTAAAGTAGTCTTCCAGCTTGCTTTGACTCAGAACATTGTAAGCTAGCATATTCCTTCATTTCGGGGGGTTGATGATATACACTTATTCTTACTTCAGATATGTAAATATGCAAATATTCTGAGCGGTACAAATAACTTCCTTCTTAGTGAATGATGGGGGGAGTGCGGAGTGGAGATCCAAAGCCCATTAGTAGGCCACTGGAGATCCCCTTGCAGAGGGGT